ACCCTGGATAAGTCACTTAACTTCTGTCTGCCTCAGTTTCCTCATCTATAAGATGGGTAAAAACCTATCTCCCAGGGTTGTTGTGAAGATAAAATGAGATAAAGTTCATAAAGCACTTTGTAAACCTTGAAGTGTTATATATCAATACTAGTTATTATTACTATTGTTGTTGCTATTATTGTTGTTACATTTTGGAAAAACATAGAGCAAATTCATGCATTTTTTTAATATCCCAGCACTTCAATATTTGAAAATGTCTTTCATGTATGCCCTTAGCTTTCTTTCCCTCCTCCCCTCTGCCTCCTGGCTTCCCTGGCTTCCTTCAAAAGACTTGGTTAAATCCTACCTCTGCAAGAGGCCTTCTCTGGTCTTTCCCTCCTGTCTCCTATATCCTCACTGTTGGCTCCTTCCCCTCTGAGGTTCTCTCCCATCTACCCTGCATGTATCCTCTATGTACATAGCCATTTGTGTGCTATCTCCCCCATTAGAATGTGAGCTCCTTGAGGACAGGCACTGTGTTTTTGCTTTTCTTTGTAATCTCCATGCTTAAAATAGTACCGGGCACATAGAAAGCATTTTAAAAATGCTTGTTGACTGACTGACTCCAGTTCCTTCGACTTCTCCTTATATGACACAATATGGCATCATCATTCCTTCTAGATGAACTCAAGTTTGTCAACGGTCCTATTTTTCAATGTGGCAGCCAGGATTGTCCTTAAGACTCCAAATAGGCTCAAGCCAGTACAGAAAACTCAGAGCACAGTAGAATCTTGGTAGGTAGGTGGGATCAGATTGTGGAAAACCTTGAATGCCAGACTAAAGTAGATTGGCTTTATATCATAGAAAACAGAAAACCATTAAAGACTTAACAAGATGCAGGTGGTAGGGATGACATGTATGGGGCAGTATTTTAGGAAGATAAACCTAGTCTTTGACCAAAGGATGGATCAGAGAAGTGAGACAGAAGAAAGGGAGAAGCACCAGCAAACTATTGTTCTAGTTCAAACAAAAGGTGTGACCTAAAAGGTGACGGTGAGTCAGAATTTCCTGCCCTTATTAATCTATGTTGTTTTTAGTGACTTGGAAGGCGGAGGAACTGTGGAATTATTACTGCTACTGCTCAGGGAAAAGGAGAGAGGTAATCAATCAATAAGACTTTATTAAGCACCTGCTATGTTCCTGGCACTGTGCTAGGCACTAGAGATACAAAGAGAAAATTGAAATAATCCCTGCCCTCAAAAAGTTTGCATTCTACGAAGGAAGGCAACACATACATAGTAAAGTATATGTAAAATATATAAAAATGTGTGTGTGTGTGTGTGTGTGTATGTAAATTTGAGAAGGGTGGATCAGGACAGGTCTTACGCAGAAGGTGTAACTTAGATTAAAAGTCAAAGGAAACTAGGGATGGTTATTCGCCAATGAGATCCAAAAATCAACCAGACTGATATTAACATACTGATGGTGGAAATGTGAATAGGTCTGGTCATTTTGGAAAGCAGTTTGGAACTATGTCCCCCCTAAAATATTTCTAAACTGTGCAAACCTTTTGACTCAGTAATACCACTACTAGACCTATACACCAAAGAGGAAAGAGGGAAAGAACCCATATGTACAAAAACATTTATAGCAGTGTTTTTCTTGTAGTCAAAAATGGGAAACTGAGGTGGGGGGAATATAAATTGGGAAATGGCTGAACAAAGTATGGTCTTTGAACCTAATGGAATACTATTGTGTTATAAGAAATGATGGGCAGAACTGGGAAAACCATTTATACATAAAGGAATATGTCATAGCACATAGCACATTATACAAAGGAAATCAATCCTCTACACAGAAAGGAAAAAGAAAACTTTGAAAGACTGACCAATTCAGTGACTAATGACCATGATTCAGGATGGAAAAAGAGATGTGCATTTTTGGATATGGCCAATGGGGGGATTTGTTTTGCTTGAGTACCCTCCTCCCACCACACCCCCGGAGGAAGATGAGGGGAAAAGAAGATAAAAGCTTTTTAATTGATTTTTTTTTCTAAAAATCGACCAGACTGGGTGAACATACTTTACTAGCACACTGATACTTATTAACGTGGTTCTCAGTGAAGTTTCTGATGTGAGTGCATGATGTCCTGAAGAAGCGTAGTTACTGATTAAACTATGGGTTCTGGTTTTTATTTCAGTTCAATTGTATTTGTTCTCTAATTTTTTACTGGCCCATGTTCATTTCTTTTGAGTCGCTGACTTGGCTGTACAATGACCATAGCTCAAGTGACTCTGGTAAATAAGGAGAAGGGCACCTACCCAAAGAGACTCAAGTGTCTGCGTAGGATGAAGGTGTCTTCATAAAGAATGAAAGTCAAGTTTCCATTCTTAATGTAAGGGGGAAATTTTAAGCGACTTTCATAATCACCTCACCATACCCAATAAAGTTCAAAAAAGTGCAGAAATGCACTTTGTGACTTGAAAAACTGTTAGCCCCCTTATTAACATCTCCTGATGACTTTCTAGATGCACAGCACTTACAGTTCTGAAACCATGACCCTTATGATCTCCTGGGAGGGAAACGCTGCTCAGTAGGAAGATGGAGCAATGATGCCAAACTGGGTATAGCGATGGTAGGAAGACGGACTGTAATGTTACTGAGAGCATGGCCACATGGATCCTTGATGCCTTCTAAATAAAAAGAACATCAATGAAAGGCAGAATGAGAGGCAAGCAGCGCAAAGAAGGGCTAATAAAACCCACCAGGGATGGATGAGAATGGCAGAGGTGTGTGTGTGGGGGAGGGGGAACCACCAATGAAGAAGAGGCAGAAAGGTAAAGAATTAGCGTGGGAAAGAAGTCAGAAAAGATGCGAATCCCAGGGAGTAGAAACCAAAGGAGAAGTCTTCAAAAGAGCCACAAAGATCTTTCTTGAAGAGAATACCTAGTCCTTCTCCTTTACTAGGGCCCAAACCAGAACAGTATTTACTATACAAAAGAAGGATGGTGAAGGTTCCTAGGAGGAGGTTAACTGGAAGGCCACTTGTCTCTTCTGCTTTTGTCTCTCTAAGGGCTCACTAACTAACTTTTGCCCCTGTTGGGGCCACACCCAGTACTGTAAGTCAGGAGGATTTAACAAGTCCTTGAGGAGAAGCAATAAACTACTGGAAAGGAACTAGGATTTATGAACTTGCTATGGATTCCTTTCTGAGAACTTTCTGGTCTCACATTGTGTGAATAAACCTGTCGCATGCCTTGTGACCCTGAGTGTTTATAAGGGGAAGTGATGGCCATCTTTGGGAGAGTGTAATACAATGAAGTTCCTGGCTTCCACATATATGAGGCCAAATGTAACACAGAGGAGTCTGGAATACTAACTGCCCTTGGGGAAAGTGCCAGATGAGGATATTTTCAGGTTATACCTGGATGGAGGCAAATGAGTCAGATAAATACAGCCTAGATTCCCAAAGAGTACTTGGGCTTTTCATGTCAGTTAAGGGCTATATAATTACACATAGACCATTATAAGTCACAGCCAGCTTCCTGATCTCTGAGATGAGGTGTGAGCTACACTGACGTCACATGAGTGTATGTAGGAACCCTGTACCGAGCTAACACTCTTCCCTTTCATCACTCACCCTCTAATTGTATCACTGCAGTAAGGAGTGTTCACAAAAGCAGCATCAGCTAGTCCTGACCACTTGTCACAGTGGTCATTGATAGGTCATTCTCCAAGAAGTCCCTAACCTAGTCTTAAGGGACCCATGCTGACTCCATGTTAGGCCTGTATTCAGTACATGCAATGTGCTAGACCAATGAAGAGAAGTGTGCTTCTATTCCTTTGTCCTTAACAGCCCAAAGGGTCAATGTGTCAACAAGTATTGTTACTACTAATTAACAGAATATGAGGTAAGAAAGAAGAACAATGTCTATGACCTAAAGAGGAGTCCACCGGCCACTTCAAGACCAGGCATGGAAGTCAATAACTCTGCCCCTAACCCAAGTTATGTGATTCCTTTCTAAGAGGGTTTTTTAGAGTATTTCTAAGGAGGGGTGACAAACAGGGTGCCGGGGAAGTGGTATGCATCTGCCTTATCTCACAACATAATAGAGGACAGCCTTTCCTACAAATGAAAGGAAAGTTTAAGTTTAAGAATATATCAGAAAAGAAGAACTGCACCATGCCTCATGTTTTTCTAAAAGTTTGTCTCAGTCAAACTGAGACCTGGGAAAGACCTTAGCTTAAAAAGGCCAAGGTCTCCCACTGCACCCAGGGCCATCGCCAGTCGTCTGATCCATATCTGGCCACTGGATCCAGATGGCTCAGGAGGAGAAAGTGAGGCTGATAACCTTGCAGAGCCCTCCCTCACTTAAATCCAATTCATTTGCATGACATGGCATCACCTCCCTGATGTCAAGATCCTCGAAGGACAAACAACAAAAACAACCTGAAGCATGTGTTTATTAGCACCTGGAAAGTAAACAGCAGCCCGGGATTTGGGCCTTGGGAGCTGATTCACAGGCTAATTAATAAAGCTTCTGTCCTCTACCTTTGACTAGGTTTTGGTGGTTCTAAACCTGTTTTCTGCATTGTGGACCTTTTTGAGGCAGTTTGGTGAAGCCTGTGGCTCCTTTCTCAGAATCATGTTTTTAAATTCATTAAAAAAAAATACATAGGATTACAAAGGAAACCAATTCTATTGAAGTACAGTTAGCAAAAAAAAAATTGAGTTCCTAGACTCCAAGTTAAGAATTCTTGGTAAGGTATCCTTAGTCCCTCTCTTCTAAAAATCTCTTCCACACTGTAAGAGCTGTCATGCAAAGGCTGCAAGGGGAGGGAGAAGGGGTGCTTAGCTCTTATCTACATTATGTGGTAGGTTGTCCCACCAAGAGAATGGTATTCTCAAATATCAGAAAAGAAGAACTGCACCATGTCTCATGTTTTTCTCAAAGTTTGCCAAACATTCTTAAACTAAACATCTCTAAAAGAGGAAGCTAAGTGTTTCCTAGAATCAAAAGTGGTCTCCTCTTCACTGGTGACCAGGTCCAAGATATCATTGGGACGCATAAAGGACTTCCCCACAGTGTCAGGTATTTGCTCTTCTCATTCTTTTCATCCTGGTATGGGCCAGGATAGGGTCAAAGTCAATACAGCCCATTTATGTGGGAGGGGGCCATCTGTATCCAGTGTTCTTTCCAGAACATTGTGCATTCTTAGTGGAGGGAATGGCAAGGGACTGGCAGAGATGTGTTCCAGGTGGTGGTGGGGGGGGGGTCGGAAGATATGTAGGGATTATGATAAAGAAACCTGGTGCCCAGGAATCTCTGGGTGGGGAAATATGTAGCTGGAAGTACCCTTCCTTCTATGTCTGACTTCTTTTGCCATTAATTTTGCTCATTTCTCCAATTCCACCCATCAAATTATCAAATGAGTTAATATTTGTAAAGCACTTAACACAGTGCCTGGAAAACAGTAGGCATTTAATAGATGGTTGTTCCTTTCCCTTGTTCCCTTCCCTTGCCTGTTCTGTGTGTCTTTAGTTCTTAGAAGTTGTTTTTGTTTAGTCGTTTTTCAATTGTGTTTGACTCTTTGTGACCCCATTTGAGGGTTTTCCTGGCAAAGATATTGAAGTGGTTTGCCATTTCCTTCTCCAGTTCATTTTATAGATGATGAACTGAGGCAAACAGGGTTAAAAGACTTGCCCAGGGTCACACTGCTAGTAAATGTCTGAAGCCGAGTTTGAACTCATGAAGATGAGTCTTCCTGATTTCAAGCCCAGTGCTCTATCCACTGTGCCATCGAGCTGCCTCTTAGAATTAGAAAAGTCTTTTTTTTTTTCCTTTCCTGATGCTTGACCAATGTTCATTTCATTAGCAGGGGAAAGGGTAGATGTCAAAGAGAGTACAATTTTTAGTAAGGGAAAGATTTTTCAAAATTATTTTTTACATAGAAGCAATGGCTGCAGGGCTAAAAACAACCTTATTCACCCTATCTCTCCTAAGCACACACTCAGGAAATTGCTTATGATTCGAATTTACCAGTGACCAAGATAACAGCAATAATAAAAGCTAGCACCAATATAATGCGTAAAGTTGTCTCGTGTTATCCTCACAATAACCCTAGGAGATCGGTACTATCTTTATCCTCATTTTACAGAGAAGAAAACTGAGGCTGAAAGAGGGTAAATTACTTGCCAAGGGGAACAGCTAGTAAGCATTAGAAGCAGGGTTGGAGCTCTGGTCTTCCTCACTCTGACTCTAACAGATTATCCACTGAGTCACTTTGGCTGCCTATCCCTGTAAGGTTCTAAAGATAACTGCATGTATTCCTTAGATGAAGAAGTGTCTTTAATCAATTCTTTGATGACCAATTTAACTATTTTTCTCTTCCCCCCCCCAAAGAATTGTCTGAAATAACTGGTTGTTTTGGCTGTAACTGAAGCAACTAGAAATGTGTTGGGGAGTTCTTTGAAGTAAGCTTCAGGTGAAGATGGTGAGAATAGATAGTTGTTTTTGTAGCTTACAGGGTCTAAAGCATTCTACAGCTCAATGCTGACTATGAAGTTATCCGTAGGGTCTAGTGCCTAGACTGTCTTTATACATCTACCAGAGAATGAGTCCTTTTTATAAGAGCCAGAAAAATGAGCTCTTAGAGATCTCACTTAGAATTCACTATTCAACATTCCCCACCCAGGAATGCTCAGCCCATGACACAGCACAGTATGCACAACTGCCAGAAATTTTGCAATTCCACTGACTTGGAAATCCAGGAATATCACCTCACTCAGTAGGGAAAGATCTAGGATTACAGGATCTGAGTTCGGATCCTGACCCTTGAGATTTGTGGGACCTTTATGGTAGAGTCACTTCATCTGTAAAATGAGGGGGCCAGTGTAGATGATCACTAGTGCCCCATTCTAGCACCATTCTAGAAATCTATGACCTTTTGGCCCAGATAGAATGAATGAGATTACACAGATGTCCCTCCTGGATTGTACTGTGCCACAATGGATTTGTTTCATCCCGTAAGTCATTGATACTATAACATCGATAATTACCTCTTTCTTGCTAAAAAATTGTACTATCTTTAACATCTGCCATTGAAGAACTGAAAATCTATTTCATTGGCAACACCTGCAGGTGGATCCACATCCAGTCTTTGAATTTCCTGTCATAAATGTTAAAAATATCAACAACTTTTTAGCAGGTGGATGAAACTGGCTAGGTCAAAGTGGATCATGTGTTAAGTTATTGCTCAGGGTAGGATGCAGTATAAGAAAATAGGATAAAATCCCTTATTTCACTACTCAGTATTTAATGTTTGAGAACAGTGGAAACCCAGTAAAGACTACCCAAAGTCACCTTAAAGATCAAATGCTGGTTGATGCTGGCAACTAGCAAAAAACAAGTTAAGCAGTTATCAGAAGAATTGCAGAGATATAAGGGACTTTCAAGGTCATCCATTCTAACCGTTCATCCCATACAGGAATCCCCTCTGAAGGCACCTATTCATTGAGCCTCTGCTGCAAAGCTTTCAGAGACAGACATTTTATTTTTATTTTATCTTATTTATTTATCTATTTATTTATTTATATCATTATTTTACAGGGCAGTCCATTCTATCACTGGTCAGCTTTGAATGTTAGAAAATTCTTCCTTACATTAAGCCCAAATTTGCCTTCCAATGACATATTTCTTAGACATACTTCTAGCCTCTGGAGTAGGCATTCTCTTTTTTTTTTTTTTTTTTTGGCTAGGCAATGGGGTTAAGGGACTTGCCCAGGGTCACACAGCTAGTAAGTTGGAGCAGGCATTCTTAACCTGAGTTCCATGAACATTTTTAAAAAAATATTTTAGTAACTATATTCCAATACAATTTGTTTCCTTTCTAATTCTACGTATTCTATATACATTTAAAATATTATTCTGAGAAGGGGTCACTGGGCTTCACTAGATTGCCAAAGGAATCCATGACACCAAAAAATTTAATAACCCCTGCTCTAGAGATATTTATAAGTCTATTTTCTCTACTACATAGCCTTTGGAATTTTAAATATAGGCATTTTAGCCCCAGCCCCCAGCCATGTCTTTACCTTTCCAGATTGAACATCTCTAGTTCAGAACATTCATCATTCTTTTCTGAACATGACCCAGTTTGTCCGTGTCTCTCTTAAAATGTGGCAATCAATCAATCATCAATCAATAAACCCTTATCAATCACCTACTATATGCCAGGCACTGTGCTAAATGCTGGGGATATGAAAGAGGCAAAAGATCATCCCTGCCCTCATGGAATTTATGGTCTAATAGGGGCACCCACAAGCCAACTCAATATTCCAGATGTATTAAACCCAGTATGAGGTAAGTGTGCGTGAGATGAGGGTGGGGGGAGTAATCATCACCTCACTGTTCTGTACATTTTGCTGTACAGTTTTGCCACAAGCTAGTCTTGAGATCTTAGGCAAGAAATCACCTAATCTCTCAGAACCTCAGGCATCCAATCTATAAAATGAAGACGACAAAAACACTTGCCTTACTTAACTCATTGGGTTACCATGAGATCAAATAAGATCATGGGTAGAGCTTTGCAAACTATAAAGTCTTACTTATACCATACAATAAACATTTATTAAGCACATACTGTGTGCCAGGCACTGTGCTAAGAGCTGAGGATATAAAAGGAGGCAAAAGACAGTCCCTGCCCTCAAGGAGCTTACAGTCTAATGGGAAAGACAACAAGCAAAGGAATATATACAAAGCAAGCTACACACAGGATAAACAGGAAATAATTAACAGAGGGAAAGCACTGGAATTAAGAGGAGCTAGGAAAGGATTCCTGTAGAAGGTGGGATTTTAGTTGGGACTTAAAGGAAGCCAGTGAGGTCTGTAGTTGGAGTGGCAAGGGAGAGCATTCCAGGCATGGGGATCAGCCAGAGGGAATGCCTCCTGCCAAGAGATGAAGGATTTTGTTTGGGGAACAGCCAGGAGGCTAGTGTTACTGCATTGAAGAGGACATATCAGGGAGCAAGGTTTAGGAAGACTGGAAATGTAGGAGTAGGCTGGGTTATGAAGCAGAATATTTTGTATTTGATCCTGGAGGTAAAAAGGAACCACTGGAGTTCACTGAGTAAAGGGGTGACATGATCAGATTTGGGACATGTCATATGTACACATTAATTAGCAGTAGCACTTCCATAGCCTTTTTTACATAGCTTCATACAACATTAGCTTATTTAGCAACCAAGTCACATGACTGACTCATCTTTAGCCTGCATTCCTCCAAAAGCCCCAGATCTTTTTCAGATGAATTGTTGTTAAGGGGGAATCTCCTTCATCTTTTATTTGTGCACTTGATTTTTAGAATTTCATTGCACTATTTTATCATTAATTCTCATTAAATTTCATCTTGTTAGCTTCAGCTCATTTCAGCACATCAAAAATAGCTTTGAATCTGGATTCTGTCATCTAGTATAGGAGCTGTCCCTCTGAACTCTTCCTTCAGTCATCTGGAAGGCTTGAGAAGGATGCCTCCTTAGGAGCTCGAAAAGCACATCTTCATGAGAAGTTGACTTTGTTTTGTTGTTGAGTCATTTCCAAGTGTCCAAGTCTCTGTGACCCCATTTGGGGTTTTCTTGGCAAACATACTGGAGTGGTTTCCCATTTCCTTCTCCAGCTCATTTTACAGATGAGGAAAGTGAGACAAACAGGATTAAGTGACTTGCCCAGAGTCACACAGTTAAGTGTCTGAGGCTGGATTTGAACTCAGGTCCTCCTGACTCTAGTCTCGGCTCTCTATCCTAGCTGTCACACATACCTAAAACGGGAGTGTGCTGGAACCAGCTCATGCTGTTTTCCAGAGCTGATTGTTAGATGTTTAGTGTGAGCATTTACACTTCAGAAAATTCTACACATCAGAACTTGAGTTATTGTTTTATTAATTGTCTAGACTTAAGATGCAGAAAATGTTAATAATGCAGATTAAACTTAGAAGTGTGTCATGTATTCATATTTTTCAGAGAGCCGGTTGTTAAATATTTATCAGCAGATCCCTATACCTAACTATTAATAAAGGGACTAGTGCTGGGAACATT